ACATCGAGCCACCCTTCACTACCAATGTCAAACACCCAATAGGTGCCGGTTAACCACGCACGCTCCACTAACGTTTGGCAAGGTGTGAAAGTGTAATTCCCTGGATTAGCATACCAATTTCACATTTTGCCTAAAGTAAAACTATGATTTGGGAATTTATAAAAGCATTTAGTTACTTTGTACTTCATTATACTTATAATGGAAGGTTTGTCCTATCCTCCCCGTTCGGCTAACGACCCTCCACTAGTCAAGAGTGCGGTGGGTAAGAGTGGATACTCATTCAATCGCCATTTTCTAGGCAATTTCTTTAAACACCCCTTATAGACTAGCTTCGTGAATGAGGCCTACTAACGGTAAGACTGACTTTTTACTCATATATATAATATTAGACTTTTAATGTTACATATATATAGTATAGGGTGTATTTTACACTTTTAAAATACTAGGTGGTCTAATTTAATTAAATTATACTTTTAATTTAATTAAATGTAAACCAAACTTTATGGGTTTATAAAATCTCCTTTAATTATACACCTTAATTAATAAATAAAACCATAAGGGTGTAATTTAAACTTTTTCAAAATACGAGGGTTTTAGATTTAACATTTCAAAATTAATTTTAATCAACTTTTAAATTCCAAAACTTGAGGGCAGTTTTGAACTTTCAAAACATTAGGGTTTAGAATTTAAATATTTCAAAAATTAACTTTAATCAAAAAATTTTAATTCCAAAACTTGAGGACCAAATTTTGAAACCTTTCAAAACATTAGGGTTTCAACTATTCAAATTTCAAAAACACAAAACGTTTAAGTTCAAATTTAAACTATAAAACCTAAATGGGAAAATTGAAACTTTTTCACAAGATAATTCAAATCTAAATTACAAATAATCAATCTTTATCTAATAAAAACAAAGATTATCTAAATTTGACAATTATCTTCTATTTTTGGCAAGGATAATCTCCAAATTTGATAAAAATCGGATTTTATTAATAAAAAACGTTTTAGGCAATTATCCACAGCCAAAACATGTCAAAATCCCGAAATCTGCTCCATCTACGACTCTGACTCGTCGAGTCTAGCTTGGACTCGTCGAGTTCACTATGGACTCGGCGAGTTCAGCCATGGACTCGGCGAGTCCAGCCCCAGAAACCAAAATTTTCGATTTTAAGCATGAATAATCAACTATAGCATCAAATACATCAAACAAACAACCCTAGGCTCTGATACCACTAATGGGTTTCGAGCAATACATCAATCCTATGGTGTACATGCAAACCCTAATAGCTTTGGATCTAGTTTGTCTAATGAACATGCAATCGAATATCCAAAGCTATAAACCCTAGATCTAATAAACTATAATTGAAAATAGGGTTTAGATCTTACCTTTGATTGTTATATAGCAATAACAATCAATCCTTGGCTTCAGAAAGCTTAGTGCCTCAAGTGTTGCACCTCTAATGGAGTCACAAACACCACTAAACAACTTGGATGAAGAGGGAGGAGAGAGGAGAGCACAAAAAAAAGGCTGGAACCCTAAAGGAAGTATTCACCGCGTTTTTGGGCCATAAGGGTTCCTTATATATGCTGGCTATTAGGGTTTACAGCTAGGAAACCCTAATCTGACTGCTTAAGCCCTAAGCAGCCCATGGACCCCTTCTGGAACATGCCTTGGACGATTTCTAATGGGCTTCCCCATAGAATTCGTCTAACCTATTATTCCAAGGTGATCCATAGCCCAATTATGCAATTATCTTATAATTACACAATAAGTCCCTTAAGTTTAATTAATCTCTTTTAGTCACAAAATTAATTCTTAATTAATTCTTGACTAATATTAATTAAAGAATATGATTTCTCCTTTAATATATATCTTTAATATATTAATAAATCATAATTAAAACCTTTCTCTCCTTAATTCATCCTACATGCTTGGGTGAAAGCAACCCAAAAGGACCATGCTCATAATCAGGTCAAGTACATACCAAAATAGTTATGGACTTAGACACTAATCCAACAAAATCGCCGGCACAAAATCTCGTTTGATGAAGAAGAATCTATGTGTCTACTTGGCTAAACAATCAAACCAACATGGTTATGGCATAATCACTTGGGCCATGTAAGTTTCTCGTCCCTAAAACACATGTATAATGCAAATATTATGGAGGGATTAGCTAATATCAATAACCCCACCACCCGTGTGAAGGATGTTTGGTTGGAAAACAAACACGAAAAATATATCCCATGCAAACAACCTTTAGAGCAAAAATTAGACTTGAACTCGTGCGTGGGGATCTTTGTGGTCCCATCTCGCCACCCACACCTACAGGAGCAGGAAAAAGTACTTCATGTTGCTAGTTGATGATTATACAAGAGCTATGTGGTAATATTTAATGAAAAGTAAGGATAAAGCCTTGCAAGTATTTAAAGAATTTAAAGCAAAAGTCAAAGTGGAAACTGTGACATCCCCATTTTCACGGCCAGAAAAGACCGATTTTGTTTATGCTTTATAGAAATCAGAGTACTTCTTTTAATAAAAAATGTTTGCGGAATTTGTTCCCAGTAAATATGATAAAATACGTTATCAAAGCATTTCTGAAGAAATGTATTTTTATTCATTTTTAAAACATTTGGGATGTCATCGTCAATACAGAAACATAAGCATAAACATAACTTACATTCATTTACACTAGTGATCTACATCTCTTTTAAATCCCTCAGTGTAAAGTAGCTTCATATCGACACTTGTTATACAAATAAGCTTGAGTGGGTCAGGTTGGGAAACCTGGTGAGTACATAGGGTTTTCAACCCACAAGAATATAATTATTATGTTAAACATCAAACAATCAACCCAATTACCCATCCCCATTATCTTCTTTACTCTTAAGGATCTAACCTAAGATTCAGCTATTCCTCGTTCATTCATTTCTAAGGAGTATCATAAGGAATCGGCACTAAGTCCGCATAGTCCCAAGGTTATCTCGTTTATTGACAGTATCGCTTTCGAGAGTCCACTCGCAATACCTGTCAAGGGGTTTTTAGAGTACACCGGGTGAACACATCGTTCACAACATCTACAGGTTGCGAGCCTGCTAGTGTACTACTAGACTGTCTAGAATAGTCTGTGGTTGTCATCCATACTCTGCTAGATGACGAGGCCATCGCTTGGGTCATCGTTTGGCTCATCGTTTGGCTCATCGTTTTGGCTCATCGTTTTGGCTCATCGCTTTGGCTCATCGTTTTGGCTCATCGCTTTGGCTCATCGTCTTGGCTCATCGCTTTGACTCATCACTTAGGTCATCGCTTCGCACCATATTTTATCACTCATATATCATCGCTAATCATTCATCTCATCTTTCATCCCTCATCATTTTTCTCATCTTTCATCGCTCATCATTTATCTCACCTCTAATATACCCATGTTTTTCCCAACACATTTTGTAGATATAAAATACATATACAGTTTAGATCATTTAAAACATGTATAAAACGTTTCATCCAGCATAGACAGCAAGTATTCAGACAGTATACACACGTAGCACGTAATTTATAAAATACGTCATATCTATGTGTAAGATGAAAGTAACTATGCACTCACCTGGAAAGGCGGTGACTCGGTACTTGGTCAGCACTTCGTTACTCTTAAAACAATCTTCCTCGGACAAAACCTAATATCATTACCACTAGAGTTTAGTCTAATGCTTGACGAGACTAATTAATAGTCTTGCTAGTATTACTATTTTATAAGCACGAAACAATATTTCTCAACCACTATGTACAGACAGGGGCTAGACATGAAACACCGGAGGGCATGATCATTTCGGCATAAAAGCACTTCTGAATTCCAACAACCCTATGCGGCCCTTTAAACCAGATTCCCCGTACCGCGAGTAGTTAAAAAGATATTATAACGACACTTATATAACCCATAATAATAGCTCAAATAATTATTATAAGGTCCTAATAACGTTACTATAATTAATTAAAAGCTATATTAAAAATAGCGTAGGCGTAGCTCACTTACAACGGGTTTTATCAAAAACCGGGCTTCGCTGGAGCAGTGTTTCCGAGCCGAAAGGCCCTTTTTCTCGGGACTCCGGGAGCCTCAGGGCTTCCTTCGGGTGCTAGGGGGTTTACCTAGACTTTAGGGGGCTTAAGGGGAGCTAGAGAGAAGTTTTAGAGAGAGAAGTAGAATGGGATGGTGTGAGGAATTGGTTTCACCCGGCACCTCTATTTATAGGGGGCTGGAGGCCATTTCACGTTGTGAAACATAAATTCACGTCGTGACCCGCTGGAGACAGCCAGGCACAGCCTGGTGCTGACACGTGGCATCGCACACAGGGTGGAAATCAGCTGATTTTCAAAAATTCATAACTTTCGAATACGAGCTCCGTTTTCGACGTTCGTTTTTTCCACGCGTAGGTAAAAACAAGATCTACAACTTTCATTTAGACTCCGTCGGCTACTTCTCGACCGATCTTAAATTTAACAGTAGGAGGAGATTAGACTGTTAAATGACCGCGAAGAATTCGTAACTCCTTCATACGGACTCCGTTTTCGTCTGTCTTTTTATCGTTGAGTTCCTATTAATGAGATCTTCAACTATCATTCAGGTCGCGTATGCCAAAAACCGCTCGAACTAAAAATTCGAGTTTCTGGCCGTGCACTGCTATGCCAAATCTTAGAAAATTCATAACTTTTACATACGAAGTCAGATTTGGGCGTTCTTTTTATGGACGCTCTCGGTTTAACGTATACTATAACTTTTTTTTAGATTACTAAGGCTAAAAAGTAATCTATCGTAAATTCACTATTTACGTCTCCCGGTGTCGTGCCGGTTTTGCCGAAAACTTCGACGGGTCATAACTTCTTTGTTATAACTCGGATTTCGGCGTTCTTTATATGTACGGAACCCTTGTAACATATACTACCACTTGGAAAAGATTAATCCTTCTAAATAATATTCCATCAAAAACTCATTTTTTGATGCTTATTGTCTCTAAATTGACTAGCCCGGATTTGCGGGCGTTACAGAAACCGGTGAGAAGATTTTAACACTTTGTATAGATCAAGCAGGTGAGTTTCTTCCAAACCGATTCACCTCTTATTGCAAGGAAAGTGGCGTAAACAAGCACTATACAACACCTTACTCTCCACAACAGAGTAGAGTCCTGGAAAGACGAAATCGCACCGTTGTAGAGATGGCCAGAAGTAGTTTGAAAATCTTGAAAGTTCCTGATGTGTTATGGGGTGAAGCGGTGACTCATGCGATCTACATTCTCAATCGTGTAACCAACCATTAAAGCTCTCAAAGATGGTACACCATATGAAGCATGGACCGGAAGAAAACCACGAATTGATCATGTAAGAGTTTTTGGCTACATTGCACACATGCAGTAACTGGAAGGCATTTGAGTAAATTAGAAGTTTGTAGCAAAAAGCTAGTTCACTTGGGGGTTAGAAAAAGGTATGAAAGGTTATAGAGCGATTGATCCTGATACATGATACAAAATCAATTCAAGTAAGTAGAGATGTGATTTTCGAAGAAAATAAAACATGGGAATGGGGGCAAGCAACAAAGTTCAAAAGAACATCAAACAAAATCTTCACCTTCGATATATTACATCTCGATGAAAACAAACACCCCTGGTGATAGTGAGCAACATGGAGAGAACTCAAATGAAGACCATACAAATTAGGATAATGGTGTACCTGAAAACCCTCATAATATTCCATTAAGTCCCGAATCTTTCCATGCAACAAGTGAAACTAACTCGACCTCGTCTACAAACAAAGCTCCACTCAAATTCACACCTTGGCTGATATATATAAAGATTGTAGTGAATTTTTATTCCTACGTGATGACGAGGAACCCACATCTTACTCAACGGCAAAAGGAATTGTTGAATGGGAGAAGCAATGAAGAGTGAGATAAGTGCAATTGAGAAAAACAAAACTTGGAAGCTGCTAGATTTGTCAAAAGGGAGAAAACTCATTGGTCTCAAGTGGGACTTCAAGATAAAAAGAGATCCAAATGGAAATATCTTGAAGCACAAGGCAAGATTAGTTGCAAAGGGTTATGTGCAAAAACATGGGGTTGATTTCGATGAAGTTTTTGCACCTGTGGTTAGCATGTAAATTGTGTGTATTCTACTTGTTTTGGAAGCTACGAACGGTTGGATTGTACATCATATTGATGTAAAATCAATCTTTCTTAATGAAGATTTAGAGGAAGGGGTTTATGTAACTTAACGAGAGGGTTTCTGAAGAAAGACAAGCCAAAGTTGGTGTACAAATTATTAAAGGCGTTGTACGGATTGTGACAAGCTCCTAGAGCTTGGAACTCAAGGCTAGGCAAATGTCTAAAAGATTTAGGTTTTGTAAGATGTCCACAAGAGTATGTGGTTTACACAAGGAAGAAAAACAGAAATCCACTAATAGTTGGAATATATGTGGATGATCTAATTGTCACTACAAATCATGGTGATGATAACAAATGAGCAACAAGTTTGATATGAGTGGCCTTGGGTTATTATCGTACCACCTTGGGATTGAGGTAAGTCAACATAAGGAGGGAATCACCTTAAAACAAACAACTTATGTAAAATCCATACTTGAAAAATCAAGTATGATTGGTTGTAATCCGTACAAGTACCCAATGGAGCCAAGACAAAAGCTAAGTAAAGATGAATAAGGAGAACTTGTTGATCCCACTTTATAAAAAAGTATTATTGGTGGATTAAGATATCTGACACATACCCAAAAAAACATCGAGTTTTTGGTTGGAATAGTGAGTCGCTTTATGGAAATGCCAACTTCACAGCACCTACTAGTCGTGAAACATATTTGGAGGTACATAAAGGGAACAACTATGTATGGTTTGGAGTATGTTAGAAGTTGTGAAGAAGACAATGTCATAAGCTATATAGATAACGATTTAGCTAGAGCTGTGATTAAAGAGAGAATCACATCAAGTATGACATTTTATCTTAATGAAAAACTTGTTACATAGGCCTCACAGAAGCAACAAAGTGTGGCACTTTCATCATGTGAAGCAAAATTTATGGCAGCTACAAGTGCCACATGTCAAGGAGTTTGGATACAAAGAATGCTAGGAGAGTTAACTAAAAGAATAATCAGTCCTATAGTGTTTGTATGTTGACATCAAATCAGCTTTGGAACTGATGACGAACCTGGTGTTCCACAGAAGAAGCAAGCATATAGACACGAGATACCACTTCATACATGGACCGGTTGAGAAAGGAGATAACATCATACAACATGTGGGGACTACTGAACAACGGGTTGATATACTCACAAAATTTATGGCTAAAGTGAAGTTTGAAGAGATGAGAAGTCTATTAAGAGTAAAGAACATCTTTGTTCCTGAATTAGGAGGGAAAATGTTGGCATAATTCAGGAAATAAGCCTTCAAGGGCATTTTTGTAAACTTACATTTTAAGTTGTATTTGTGTTAGTTTAGGATGCCCGTTTAAGCAATGTTATGTCCCCTAGATCTACGGATGTAGTCTTCAAAAGAATTGGCTTTATCATACAAAAAGGTTTAGCGGCGCAGCTTGTTATCCGTTTGCCTTCTCACTCATTGTATTGTGATCACTAAATGGTATTAAAAGATCTTAATTAATGTTATAAAATATAGTTAAACTCATTAAGTTTTCCGGTGATAAAAAGTCTTGTTAAGTAAGTAATCTCTTTTCCTCTCGTTTAGTTCTATTTCCCTGTTTCTTTCCTTGTTGTTCCGATTGATCAAGTTGATACCTTACAAGTACTAGAGGAGGATATAGGGAAATAATAATAAGAAAAGAATAACAACACATGATCAAACATTAAAGTTAACGTACCTCGGTTATCGGGAATTCAATTCCACTGTCTACAATACAAAGAAATGTACACATTATATTAGTATTATTTTTATCTATAGAGTACAAAGTACTTATTGCAAATTTAAGTGCCAATTTTGGTTGCTTCCAAGAGGAAGACATGTGCAATTATCGGGGTGATCTAATTTAATTACTTTTATATATCAAACGAGAAACCAATGCAACAGTTAAATGAATGTATTAATCGCAAAAATGACCACAAAGGTAATATCATAACACCATATGACCATTTTTTCAAAATTATTATTACCAAATAGCCACCTTTCGTGAAGAGTTTGCTAATTCGTGAAATAGCATTTTCTGACATCAAATTTCGCGAACTTTACCTTTTCTCGAGATGATGATTTTTCACAAATGATAACGCTTCGTGAAAGCATAATTTCATTTTCGTGAAATAATAAAAGTTTCACGAAATTTGATAAGAAAAGTATTTCTAAACAATATTAGGTCTAGCAAAATTGTTTAAGGTATTTGATAGCCAAACACCTTCACCAATTTTGTGGACCTATTTTGTTTACATTTCAAATAAATACTTCTTTATTTTGTGAAAATAAAATTTATTTTTCTGTAAATTTTTTTTTACATCGTAGTTCACAAAATTGACGTCATCTTGCGAAATAAAAGAAATTCAGGAAATTGAATAAGAGATATATTTCTTTGTATCTACACAAAACTGGTTAAGAAGTTTGGTTTTCATGCCGTGAGGTTCCATATTCGAGTCCTTTTAAAGACGACCTTTTTCCACATATTTTCAAGTTCCTTTAAATGTCAAAATAAATAGTCCTTCATGAGACTTGAACATGGCACCTCATGAGAATCAAATGCTTGAAAGACAAACAAAACTGTTTCACTAAACCTATTTTTGTTTACATTATAAATAAATACCTATGTTACCCAATTTTGAGAATTTTTTTGCAAAATGAAAATTATGTATTTTTTGCGGAAACAAAATAAAGTTCACAAAATATGATGTCAGAAAAAAACTACTTCACGAATTTTCGCAAAATAGGTGATCACTTTATGATAGATATTGAAAAGGTGGTCATTTTTGTGTTATGCCATTATTACCTTTTTTGGTCATTTTTGTGATTTTCTATCATGAAGTAAGATACATACATATAAGCGCCATGTCTGCATAAACGTCCCTGGTATCGGTTTCAAGATAAATGGGATTGTCCTTGATGTATAATGTTGTATAGTGGTTTATGCCTAAGAAGTCAAATGAACCCTTGATTTTCTCTGATTCGAGTTTGGTAAAAGTTGGAATTCGGTTGCCTGCACTCTTCTTCACTGTTTCTGGGTAGTCTCCATTCACCAAGGGATTCAAAAACCTCAAGTAGCTAGGATCCATGAAACAAATATTAGAGGTCTACAGGTGGTAATTTCGACCCATTTGCCAAAAATTAATGGGCCGATATGGGATATATTTACTCTTAAATGACTTATAACAAAATAATGAAATGAGTTTAAGTCGCCTATATTGCCCATTTTTGCAACATATAGCTTTTGCTTAAACTTTATGTAGTAGCAACTCACCAACCCAAATAGAAGTCATTGGCTCTTTGGGTAGCTTTGACATCTTGTATTGTATTTGTATAAGGTTCAAACCAAAAGGCTAAGAGATTTATTCCAACAGAACCATGCTGCATGGCCTGCATCGATCATCACTCATATTTAGCCAACAAGTAGTAAATGTTTCTTTCTTTATATATTTAGCCAACAAGTAGTGAATGCATGTTTTTTTTTTTTTTTTTTCCGCAAAAGATGATATTGATATAGTTCATGTTAGGATCTTCCATCAAGTGTCATTGTGGTAAATAAATTTTCATATATAGCGTGAACCTGATGAAAGCTTCAAATATGTTTTGCAAATCATGGAAATTAAATACCAGAAATTTAATTACCTTGTATTTTTCACGGTACAATTTCACAGTTGATGCATGTGCGAGAAGCATATGGTGAGCTGCAAGGTATGGCTCAGTAGTAGAGTCGCCTCTGCTACAGTTAATGTACCCAAATGGAGAAGAACAACGCCCAGGAGGTGAACTACCCCGTATCATACCCACCTAAAGCATATAAATTGGCTTCATTAAAGGTAGTCCAATGCAAAACCCGATCACCAAATTCCCTGAAGCATACATCAGCAAATGCAACAAAATCTTTCCTGCAATAATTTACGTTTTGAATATATATTATCATGCGCCTTAATTATAACACAAGGTGGTCGGTCATATATATATATGGAACCACAGTTTTAGTTAGAAATTAACGTACACTGATTTTCTACTAAGCCATCCTCCATATTCATGTTCAAGTATCAGCGGTAGATCTATATGATTTAATGTAACATGTGGTTGTATTCCTGCATAATTATATATAATCAGCATTTGCATTTTGTTGGGTGATAAACGAATAGCTCAGCCTTGGCATTGTTTGTTTGGTTACACAATTTAACTTGCATTGACATATTTATTTGAAAAAACAATTAATATAACCAAACAATTCTAAATAAATCAGTAAATTACTTATGTCAGTCTAACCATGGGCGATGAGCCTGTTGATGAAATCGTTGTAAAATTGTAAGCCCTTTTCATTCACGGATCCCTTCCGTCTGCATAAAATAATTTGACTATGCATAATAAGAAAGAGTCACCCAAGTTTTGTGATTATATTGATCTTCCATAAGTGATCAAACATACTTGGGATGAGTCTGGACCAAGAGATGGAAAATCTATATGCTTCCAAACCTGTCTCTACCATAAGTTCAATGTCTTCCTGCAACATTCCGATGCAGTCAAATTCAACTCAAGGAAACTATTAAAGCTATATGCACAAGCACCGACTTAAATTTCGCATTCTACTATCTTCACTTGTAATGTAAAACATTAATTAAACCTTGTATCGTATGAAGTCAGCATCTGCTTAAACATGTTGTATTAAGCTGTTGTGGATTAATTGAGGTCTTATCATACCCTATCATAAAGATGAGCTGTGGGTTGTGGTGTGCGGTGTGTACCTTGTATTTATGGTACCCATCACATGCTATGTCTCCATTTGCTCCATCGCAGAAGCCTGAGATTTTGGATCCATATAATATATATATATATATATATATATATATATATATATATATATATATATATTATATTAAATGGAAAAGTTCAATAGAGAACCATAATTATGGTTCTTCAAGGAACCAAATCTTTTTTTCAATTTTTAAAGCTTATTCTTTATTGAAAAAAAAATCTAAAAATATCTAAATTCATATATTAACATTATGAATGTGAAAAATATTTTTCGGATTCACCGTATGAATCCGGATTCACATTGTGAATTTTCAAAAATTCACATTGTGAATTTGACGTTAAAAAAAAAAAATTCGAATTTGATATCATTGGAAAAATGATAAAAAGTTATGAATTTCTGTATTTTTAGTTTTTTTTTTTTAATAAAAAATAAGTTCAAAAGTTGAAAAAAAGATTGGTTCTTGGTTAATTATGGTTCTCTATTGAACCTCATATATATATATATTATATATATATATATTATATTATATATATATATCTATATATATATATATATATATAATCATCTTAGGAAAATCCTCAAGCTAGCTATCATTCAAATTAGATACGTTCTAAACAGATAGAGTCAATTACAAGCATCCAGTCAATTAATGTTTATCCCTTGGCTATGTATCCCCATAAAAAGTGTAGGCTTTGAAATGAATTTTCAAGAAACCCTAGCTAAACTCCACAACTACATATTGCCCTCCATCATTGTGCGTTGTGATAAAGCTGCACTAAAGACTTTGATATGGATCATCCAAGATACGGGACACTTGGTTAATTTGGAGCTAGACAGACTTAATTTCCATATTGAAGATGGAAAGGAATTTAGATGCCCAAATGAAGTACGTGGATGTAACTAGTTAAATTAGGTGTAAATGGCATTAATATTTTAAAATTTCTTTGGAATGCGTCCATATACTAGGATAGGACTCTTGACTCTTGAGTCTTAGCTTTAACTTAAATCAAATGGCTATCTTATGCTTGTATATAATATATACTGAAAACTTACAACCGAACACCCCTAATTAAATTCAGTACAGATGGAGGAAACCATCGATCCAACTCAATTTTGAGATTGACCGGAAAATCCAACGGAAGAGTAGTCGGGCATTATATAGACACATGAGTATTAATTATTATTACCTGAATGAGCGTAGGCGTCCCAAATGCTGAAACTCCTTCCATCTTCCAGCGCTGCTCCTTCAACCTTATCACATATATATAGACACATACAGTTACCTACCTCCAAATTGATTAATATTAATTACACACACTTCAAACTTCAATCGATCGAAGTTATGAATTAATTAAGAGCAAATGCCTGATAAACGGAAGTTCCGGAACCAAAAACGAATTCAGCGGGAAAATCATCTCTTCCATATTCATCAACCACATCGAATATCAAGAATCCTACGTTTCCAGTCACCAGAACAAGAGCAAGAGCTAGAAGACGGACAAAATATTTCGGCATACCGCAAGTGATGAATCGACTATCTTAGCAGGCAAACTGACGCTGTCTGTGTTCTGGATTAATTTTGAAGAGATATCATATCCATATATGATTGGACGATAAATGGAGATGCCACGTCGGTCTTAGAACCAACATATTCCACACTAGGGATGAGAGTGGGTCCAAACCCGGACCCGGAAAACCCGGGAACCGGTTAACGAGATTTTTTAGGACCGGAAACCAGACCGGTATATAGGAACCGGTTCCGGGTAAGGTACCAGGTAAAGTGGGTCTAGAACCGGAAAACCTAGAAATGTCAAAGTGGGTCGAATGGAACCGGGTAAAGTGGGTCTAAAACCGAAAAACCCGGGGAACCGGGTAAAGTGGGTCCAATGCAATGTTTTAAAATTTCACAAAATACAAAAATAAAGCTGAGAAAAAAAATCGCAGCTTTGATATCCTACCTTTGGGAGACTATAAATCAATGAATATGAAACCAAAAATGACAAAATTATAGTCTAAAATCATGTACAAACTCTATACTACACTTTGGAAAAAACCGCATGCTATTCCGACTTCAAACTAATTAGATATGCATGTTTTAAATCTATCACAAAATACAAAGAAAGCTGAAAAACATAAAATTTTCAGCTTTGATATCCCGACTTTGAGAGACTATAAGTCAATGAATAAACACCCAAAAATAACAAAATTATAGTCTAAAATCATGTACAAAATATAAACTACACTATGGAAAAACCCTCATGTCAATCCGACTTCAAACGAATGAGATATGCATGTTTTAAAACTATCACAGAATATAAAAAAAGCTGAAAAACATAAAATTTCCAGCTTTGATATCCCGACTTTGAGAGACTATAAGTCAATGAATATAAACCCAAAAATGACAAAATTATAGTCTAAAATCATGTAGAAACTATAAACTATACTATGGAAAAATCCTCATGCCAATCCGACTTTAAACGAATGAGATATGCATGTTTTAAAACTATCACAGAATATAAAAAAAACTGAAAAACATAAAATTTCCAGCTTTGATATCCCGACTTTGAAAGACTATAAGTCAATGAATATAAACCCAAAAATAACAAAATTATAGTCTAAAATCATGTACAAACTATAAACTATACTATGAAAAAATCCTCATGTCAATCCGACTTTAAACGAATGAGATATGCATGTTTTAAAACTATCACAAAATACAAAAAAAAACTGAAAAACATAAAATTTCCAGCTTTGATATCCCGACTTTGAGAGACTATAAGTCAATGAATATAAACCCAAAAATGAAAAAATTATAGTCTAAAATCATGTTAAAATTATAAACTATACTATGGAAAAAACCTCATGCAAATCCGACTTCAAACGAATGAGATATGCATGTTTTAAACTTTTCATAGAAACCGGTTCCGGTTCCTAACACGGTTCCGGTTCTTAAACCCGGATTACCCGGAACCCGGATAGAGCCATTCTTTAAAGCCGGGACCCGGACCGGTTTTACATATTCCGGTTCTAACGGTTTCGGTTCCGGTTCCGGTCCCGTTTTCCGGTTCTAAATCTCATCCCTATTCCACACGACTGATCAGCCAAACTCAGAGGCGTTTGGGAGTACTTTTTTAAATTACTTAGTAATTTATTAAATAAGTTAAAAAAATTGGGAGAATTTCGTATATACCTTATTAAACATCTAAATATCATATTTGCCCAGCTTAATGTTTTAAAATATCAGATTTATCCAAATCTATTTTTTAAACATTTTTTATTATTTAATAATCTTTTTTTATATTTTAAAATCATTAAAAATAAAAAAATAGTCAAATAGATCATAATACCCTTACCTTCTAAATCACATGTATACCTTATTCCTTTGACATGCGACTTGCGTTCGACTCACGATCAACACAACATGCGTCTTTTTTCTGCCTTCTTGCCAAGTCTGTTGCACGATCAACACGATAATCGACTACATCATGTACATTTATGTTTTTATTAGTTAATGGAATATTCAATTCTTGATTAGAAGTATTGATCGCTTCAATTTTTTTGAGAATGTGTGATCAGATTGAATTTGGAATCGGCTACAATCAACAAATTATTTGTTTTCTTTGCCAATTAAACATTGAATATGTGATTACAACTAATGAATTAATGCTACGAATTGTTTGTGAATTGATGTGAAATACACATACAACAGAGACACCAATAGTTACTCAATCCTTCAAAGCATACATTTTTTCACTCCAATAAAACTATCAAGGGCAATCTATAACTCTTTGTCCAAAAGTACAATGGTATCATCTCAATCATGGCGTTTCCAGGCTCTAATCCTTTGCTTTTATGTGAAGTATTGACAATTGTAAACCAAGCTCGGATGATTTATGTTGGATACCCATTTACAGAAATACCAAGGTACAACAATAAGAATCAAACACAAAGTAAATGACAAAAAAATATAGAAAAATATAAAACATAAATCACAAAAGTCTAAATTAACATATCAAAACTTTAAGATAAGGCCAAAAAAGGCAAGAACCATGCAAGGTACCCTGCGAATCAGCTAACAAAAAAAAACATGCAACTATAAACTTCAAGAATAAACAACCGACAATACCAGATATTAGCTCGGTAGAGGATTAAAACTTTCAGGTGTAGCCAGCAAAGACAATGTATTTTCAATATGAACCAACATTAGCATTATACATTCAATACATCACCTATATAAGCTTGAATTTTTAGGAACAAAACCAGCCAGAGCTCCAACATTTCAGAAAAAAGCACCAGCAATGAGTTGAAACAAACATTAGCATTGAACTTTCAAGAGCAAATCAGAATTAGCCATCTACTTTCAAGAATAAGCCAACACCAAAACCAAAATTCCAAATCGATCACCCCAAAAATCCAAATCAATTTACCCCAAAAATCCAATCGATTTACACCTCAATCAATGCTATGAACGAAGAAGAGTCTCATATTTTAGATAAGATGGTGGCTGACAAACTGGTGTCGCAGCCTGAATGAAAGGAGTGTGTATATCGTGTGTGTGTTAGAAGAATTTAACCAGATGAGAATGAGTCGATCTCCAGTTCTCCATCGTTCTCTAGTTCTCCATCTACGTGATTAGGTTAGACAACTGAGGGCTATATTGGTCAATCTATCGAATGTATCATTGGATTTTAATATCGAAGGGAAATTTAGTCTATTAGTCTTTTTTAGTCTTTTTTGATAAATTAATATGATTATAAAAAATTAAAAACTGATTAAAAATGTTTAAAATTGTTTAAAAAATAAATTTGGAAAAATCCGATATTTTATAACATTAAGAAGGATAAATATGATATTTTGATTTTAGACCGGGCAAATACGATATTTTGAAGCTTAATAAGGGTATATACGAAATTTTCCCATGACAGTAACCTTATCAATAGGACATCTAATGTTGTATTCAAATAAATCTTTGGAAATTTGTGATTGATAATAATTATTTAAAATATGTAAGTATTTTTGTATTAGTATAGATTCAGTTGTCTACTTATTCATCATTTTGTTTATATTTATTACGAATATTTACTTTAAAAAATGCTTAATGTTTATTGATATTCAACACAACTATTTAAAGCATGTCAATAGTTTTTTATTAGTATAGATTGAATTACTTAATTATTCTCAATTTTGTTTGTATATTTTTCAAAATTTACTTTAAAAAATGTTAAATGTTTACACCATGATATTTTTTTAGTCAACCTATATACAGTAGCGGATTAGTAGCGGATTTAGGGGCTTTTAGTGGGATGTATGCACCCCACTTAACATGCAATCTTACTTAAATTTTATATAGAAAGTTTATAATTATAATTGGTTTTCAGGTAAGGGACCCCATGATAATAGTAATTTTATACTATGCACCCGGTTACAATCATGTCTGGATCCGTCACTACATATATACTATATAGGTCATGCAATCTAGTATAATAGTATATAATTGAGACTTGAGAATTAAGATAAATTTTCAAATCTTTTTATTTTATTACTTACAAGTGATACAAGAGTTGTTAGATTTGGAATGATAATGGAATTGTAGTTTTAATATAGAAATTGAGGAATGCTGTTACCGATGGAAATTATAATATACAGTAATTGGGATATTTGACATGTAAAGGACAAAGTAAAGGGATTAAAAGATAATTCAACCTAGGGTCAACTGCCAAGGGCCAAGGCGGTATAATTCAGTCCAACAAAATAAAATCTGCATTTCTAAATAAAGCTTTTGGGCCCATTTTGTTTGACAAAATTGTAAAAATCTAATATGGTGTTGTCAACAAACTATGGTTTAGGACATGGTTTTTGTCCAAAAGATGTATAAGTGATTTAATTTTGAATCCTTATTCATTTAAAATTACTTTTATATCCTTGTAATTATTTTTTTTTGTTTTTCTTAACTTAAAACAAATAAAAATAAATAAATAAATAATCCCAACCCATCTTCATCAGGAAGAAGGAAGAGAGAAGCCCTTCGTCCCTTCATCACAGCCGCAAATCTTGTCGGAAACCACCGGCAGCGTCGTCATCTGATCTGCCATTCTCTTTCAGTTTTTTATGGGAATAATGCAGAAAAGTCTTATTATTTTGAGAAAGTTTTTAATAAAGTCCTAAAAAAATTAACAGAAAAGTCCAAATTATTTAACATTTTGTCCAAATTAGCGAAAAAATATTTTTTATATTTGAACAGCAAATGACAGATTATGTGATTTTCTCAAAATAATGAGACTTTTCTGTTCAAAAAAAATTATGACTTTTTTGAAACTTTTCCCAAAAGTTTGGGATTTTTCTATAGATTTCCTTTATTTATTTATTTAAATACTATTCTGATTAGAAGAAAAAAAATTAAAAATCAATTATCTTCCCCCTTCCCATATGAATAACCACGATCACCCGTCGGAATAATATGAACAACCACCACCACCATATCAATCTCTTTCTCTCCCGATGAACACACACACACATACATACTCTCTCTCTCTCTCTCTCTCTCTCTCTCTCTCTCTCTCTCTCTCTCTCTCTCTCTCTCTCCAGATGAACATGCAATCTGTCTCAAGATGAACACACATCCAGATAAACATAAAGACAAAAATCAGAAATCCAAGAACAAATACAAAACCCAGAAAATTACAAGAACGAACATGAAGAAGAGAGAGAAACATGGTTTTTCAGAGACCGATTTGTTCGTCATAAGCACCAACATCTCACCAGATCTGTTCGTCATAAGGATTTAGGGTGACGGCTTTGGTGGTCGTCCGACGAGAATAAGAGAGAGAAACAAGGTGAAGACATATCTAAAAAAGCTAGGGTTTCTATAAAGTAGAAGGATGTCGGTTGAAACCCTAAACGGCATCGGATCTGAAATCTATAACGATGAAGATTACAGAACAACACAAATGTGGGTTTGCAGATCTGCGAGAGAAGGAGATAAGGGTTATCTGAAACCCTCTTCCACCACCGTCGTTCGTCGCCACTAAGTTTGTCCCCTATCTGTTATCACCAAGTCCAATATAGTCATCCCTCACCCTCCGTTCAAAACTACAACCACCCGTACCCTCCCTAGTGATCATCATACCAGTAGATCTGACGGTGTTGGCGAACCAGATGCATCCCATCGGCCATGTTTTCCGGCGAGACAACATAAATCGAAGGGGAAGGGTGCGATTTTCTGAAATAGTCTTAAAAAAGATGAGGTGAGGAAGGGACGAGGTGAGAGTTTGATGCATCCTAGCCGGAGAAAGAGTAGACAGTAGTGGTTTGCGGTGGTGGTTCGTTGTATGGTAGAGTTGATCGGAGCAACCATTTGCTCCATGTGAACGAGCTGGAGGGTTTATGTTTTCCGGTGAGAAATGCACACACCCACAAAAAAATGTCAAGAAAGAGAGAGGGGTATTTTATTTTTGTTTTGTTTTTAATTGTTTTTTAATTTCTATAATAAAAGAAAATTATAAAATAAAATAATAAAGGGCAAATCCATTATTATAAAAGATTTCAAAAATTTTGGATCAAACTCGCAACAAATTGAAAAGTTTGGACTTCTGATGCTAGTCCAAACATTTTTAGACCAAAGTGGCAATTTTCAGCTAACCACATAGACCATTTGTGCAGTTTAGTCTTTTTCTAATTAAAAAATATGAAATGAAATATATGTAATTAAAAATAACTACTATATTCATCATTTCATGGTATTTCAAGTTGGGTATGAACCAAAATCACACAAAAATATCAACCATAATGACCAAAACCACACAAGGTATTCAAAACTAGACTATTGATACACCATTAAACTTTTTTGGATAAAAAATTCATATATTTTTTTACAAACACATAGACTAATTTTGCTATATTATTCTATAATAAGAGTAAATTATGTGTTTGGTACCGAAAGTTTACCAAATATGACACCTTTGGTCCAAAGTTATTTTATAGCAAAGATGGTCCCTAATTGAAACTAAAATAGCATGTTTGGTCCCTCGGGTTTGCCATCTACGGTTAATTGGGTAATTGAACTCCAACTACAATTGGTTTGGTCTGCTCCAAGTGTGTGAATTTTGACATATGTTTCCATGGATAAAGATAAGAGTAGTACAACCTCAAAACAGCACCTGCTGCAAGGTAATTCAACCAAAAGTTGATCTCTTTAGGCCGACAACTTTAATTAAAGGTACGATATATATATATATATATATATATATATATATATATATATATATATATATATATATATATATATATATATATAATCTTCATGTATCAGGGATACCACCCAAACATCATATTAAGTTGCCAACCACAAGAGAATAAGTTAACAGATAACCAACAACACACAAAATATCAAACGGTTCTTCTTTATTTATCAGATCACTGTTTCTTCACATGCTTCTTCTTTATTCATGGCAATATTTATTTTTTTTATTTTGTTTATTCTCTTGTTCTCTTGCTGATAGGATCTAAAGAAACTTGGATTGGACCTTGGGGACTACTGAGATTTTTCTTATAAAATCAAAGATACCATCACATCAAACTCCACTCCTCAATCACTCTCATCACAACAACATTTTCAAAAGGTTGAAAATAAATTTTGGGAAGAAGCCTGATATTCTATTGCTCTACTCAATAAAAAGAAGAAGAAATAAGAGCCCAAATGAAATTGCCTATATGCGAAATATAGATTTTTGTGTGTCAAGTCTATATTACATTATTTCATATCCTTTGAAGAGAGTATACAGCCTGGGAATGCAGTTAAGTACTAGTCACTCTTGCAAAGCTTTCTCAATGTAATGGAGGTTCTTTTTTTCTGACGAATTTCTAGGCCATCCCATTTCTGGAAACCAGGTTTGCGGTTGATTTCATGTTTCCATTCGTATCTGGCTTCACCTGATATCAACAGTAAAGAGCCAGGTGTCAAGTATACAGGGATCTTGTTTTCATTTGTAGATTCATGTACACGGCTGAAATGCATCACACAGGATGATTCTAGGGAAACTAGGGCTATCCCATCTTCAAACCGCATCAGGTCCACATGTGCACAAATTCCCTGAAAACAAATTATGAGATGCTCAAACTTCTTTCTTTTCTCTCATCTCTATAGATATGATGAACAAAAGTATGAAAAAGATCATGGCGCACCTCACCTGGCTGGTATGAGTTAACAATGAGTTGATTAAAGAGAGGCTCCCTCTTCAGTAGCTCTGATGGAAATATGAATTCTTGTTTATCCATTTCCATGGATTCAGGATCATAATCACTATACTGGACAACTTCATGTATACCTGTTGAAAGCTCCTTCGCCCATGCTGGAAGATCACCAAACCTCATAGCCTGCAATAATTATGATTTATGAAATAACAGAATTAGCTTCTGATCTCAGGTTAACAACAATGAGATCTGACCATGTGAGTGAAAGCTTAAGTTGTTATGTCAACTGTCAATTGTCAAACCTGATTGTGAGAAGCCTCACTGAACCATCCTTCTGCAGCAATAAGTCGTGGTACAACAAATAAAGTTCCATCAGTGACACTTTCCAAACTCAGAAAAGAGAATACATTGAGGAAGACATGCATACGACCTACTAGGCTTTCAAGAAAATATGTCAAAGCTGCTTACTTTTCAATGCCAGATATGAAGTTGTTCTTATACCTTTTGAGAGATCGTTAATTGACAGAAACTATTGCATTTGACCCTAATTTGCTACAAAATTCGTAACTACATCGAAACTTACAAGTTGTACCATCATCAACACACATGCTGTCGTATATAGTGCAATACAATTCACAAATTTTACTTCTGAAAATAATTATTATGTTTGACATTATGAATCGAAACGTAAACTTCTTCAGGAACCGAGTAATTTTCCAATTTAAAGCTAAGGATGACGATTTATTATTCGTTAAATTAAACCGAAATTACTGAGATATATAGTAGATGGAAATAAGAAGAAAACCTTGTAGGATTGATGCTAGCAAAGTTGATTGTTGATCAGAAGTTAAAAAATCTCTACATAAGCTTAGCCCCTTGATTTCACTGATTCGCTCCCATTTAGGGTTCTCCCCAAATATAAATTGAGCTTCAACCGCAATGTTCGAGCCTTCCAGCTGTTGTCGATGATCGTCGTCGTCGCTATCTTCCGACGACTCTCCAAATGCTTCTTGAATAAGCTTCCTGTATTCATCCATTTCGAAGGAGCTTCGTCTCCAGGGTTTGCTGTGAGTTATTTTTTAGGGGCTTATTTTTGGAAAATAAGTTCAATACATATGGATTGAAGGTGAACCGCAACAAGCTGCGCTGGCCCTTTCTGGATAGCAAAATCAATTCTTTTGAAAACTACATTTGTGGATCTAGGAGATATGACATTAGAATGCATGACCCGTTGGACTCTATTGAGGAGCTCCACCGCCTCTGGAGCGAGAAAACCAAATGTATCGAATGCAAAAGGAACAAACACATGTTGATTTGTTATACATGCATTCTCGTGCTTTACCACTTTGCACACAGCGGCTTTCAAAGTGGCATGCCTAGCTGTGAAACCCCCGCTCCCTAAACCAACGAGAGGAGAGATCCCAGTAAGATCCATGCACGCATGCTTCCCTCCTATCCATCCAAAGACCAAAATGTCAGCCGGTCTAAGTGTGGACCTTCCATCCTGCGGGTCCGTCAAAAAGTTCACTGGCGCTTCTTTCTTCACAGAAATACCAGCACGCCGACAAGCATCAAAGAGAACATCCCGAACCACATCATGTCTATACTTGAAACCAGGGAGCTCTCTACAATGAACCGCGTGTTCCCCAAAGGTATCCAAACATGCCTTGCGACAAACTGGACATATCTCGTCAATTGGAAATATAGGAATCATGAGGCGGTAACGAAGGATAGTGTGGTACTCCACAGGAGACATATGTTGGCCAAGACCATCAATAGGGATAGTTAGCAGAAAATCCTGAGCATGAGGCGCTCGCAGACACTCAAAGACTGCTTTCTGTCTGACAGTCATGTCAAAGTCGACTTCCATATCTTGGACGATTTTGCTAAAAAGGGCACACGCCAAAGCTTTTTGGGATTTAGGGGGGGCGGTGTCCTTATTAGTGAAACCGCTACATTCAAATCCCAGAATCGTATTGCGAAGACGAGTCATAGCACATAGGTAATCCGAGTTCATACCACATACGTCACTGTCACGTAAGATGTGGTCTTGTAATGCCCAAGATTGGACCCTCGAGGCTACAAATGCGTAGGAGGAAACCTCGTAGGACGAGTACAAACCCAAACCACCGAAACGAATAGGTAAGGAAGCCAAGCGCCACTGAATGTCTCCAAAGAAGGGGCCTCCACATACCATCATATCCTCGATAGACCTGCGCAATCCTTTGTCAAAGAATAACGCTGCCTCTTCTATGTGTATCGGCTGGCATGTCCTTAAACCAAAGCAAAGTTTTGCAATGCCCATACATGATCGAAGCAAAAGGAGCTCACTCTGCGGGTCACATAGTTGTGGAAGAAGGCCCATCAAATCAACAGCATTGACCGCTCTCTTCATGGCCAGCCCGCTAATAAACCCTGCGTCTCTGCTAATAGCCCCCCCAAGGAGCTTCACCCCCAAAGAAGGTCTCCCTATATCCGTTGGGAATAAATCGGCACGAAGCTTCCTACCATCACAGGAGGGCCAAAAAATCTCCGTTTTCTTGATGTTCAACTCCAGACCCAAACCTGGACCATGCAACCGAATTATGTTCAACACTCTAGCCACCTCCTCTGAATCCCCAATGACAGTCCCATCATCTAGATACCAAGCATGGAGAAGGAGCTTACAATTGTCTCTAATCTTGTGCACAAGCGGGTGCAAAACGAGGGCAAAAAGAAGAGGGCCCAAGGGGTCACCTTGCTGCACCCCAGTGGCAGACCATATATGTTGGGCTCCGATATAAAGTCTCGCTGCTTGCCCGTACAAGAAATTCACCCACAAAGAAATGGAAGGGCACATCTTCTTAACCTCGTGGAGCAATGCTGATCGATCCACCAGGTTAAAGGCATTCAAAAAATCCACAGTCAGCATTACAAGAGACCCATCAGCATGGTGTTCACTCAACACCCTATTGGCACTGTGTAACACAGCCTCAGCACCACCAGATACACCAACCCCGAACTGAAAATCATTAAGGTACTTGGCCATTTCTTTACCCACACCTTTCATGGCAACCTTGGAAATCAGACGTCTCCATATAGTGCCTACTGCAATCGGACGGATCCCGTTGTCAGGTATAAGTAGAGGCGTGAGAGGAGCGGATGCAACAAACTCTGCCAAAATGGTTGGACATCTTCCCGCTAACCATAAATTAACAACTGAAGTGATAGCATGTATAAGATATGTGGCAATAGCAGATCCTTCTCCACAAAGGGCGTCTAGTAAGTGTTGAGCCCTCAAGCCATCTCTCCCGCAAGAAGTTCCTTTAGGGAAGGATTTGATGCAACCAAATACACAGTCAAAGTCTGCTACAAGGGGAGGTTCATAAATTATGGGGCTCGGCATGGATGGGGGTGGTCTGAAAGGGTGTTTGTCCTCCAAAGCTTTAATAGTATCACCATTATATGGTGCAACACCGGATGAGCATAACATTTTCACTGCTGCGGTAAAATGACCATCTGCAACCTTACGGAGACACTGTCTGATGTTGGTGTTACTTGATGTAGCCTCCTTCTGGAGGATGCCTCCACCCTGTCTCATAGCTCCACCCTCAGGATTGTCTAACATATTTTGAACTAACTTCGTGATACCACCCTCTTTCCCCCATGTATCCAAGGACTGCAGGATGGAGCTTTGCTGTAATGATTTTCTATTCCTAGACCTACATTCTTGTCTATTTTTGGGTCTAAACACCTGCAGTGTGCATCGAGGAAGAAGTAACAAACACATCCATGCTTCAACCGAGCGAGGTTGGGCAATCACCTTGTATAGAGCGGTCTTCAAAGCCTGAGAGAAAGCAAGACGACAACTATGGGGGATACTCTTGACAGTAGTGATAGGCTCTTTAAAAACACGATCAAGGAGTGCAACATCAAAAACCAAACCTCCAAGAGCATTTGTCACAAACTCTTTAGTTGACGGCTTTAGAATACCGACAATATAACGACTCAAGCCGTCATCCCCTGTAACAAACCTCGCACGACCATCCGGGTGATGACAATAACGGCTAAGAGCTTGCAAATTCATACATTTCCCACACATCCATTGACCAAAGGCCTTCAAAGTTTCTTCCACCGCCATAAATAAACCAACATCACTAGAAAGAGCTTCGCGTCACACACTTTTACGGTCTTCAGTAGGTAAATGATGCATTTTGATGTGTGAAATCATACGGCCAATCCCCTTACTTCCCACTTCACCGTTTGGAGCTTATTTTTAATGTTATTTTCTTAACTTAAGTCATAATAAATAAGCTCATCAGTTGGAAAATAAGTCAGAAAAATAAGCTTATAAAAAATAAGTTCGGAAATAAGCTAAAGCAAACACCCCTTTAGTTGACTTTGTTTAATTGCTTATTTGATTTTTGATTTTTGTGTAAAAAAAAACGCTACCGGCCGAAGAAAATCCATGTTTTGAAAACCGGACCGGACCGGCCGGTTCGACCGGTTCAACCGGGAACCGGTCTCGGATCCGGATCCGGTTCTTAAAGGCCAAAAAACCGGTATTCGTGTGAACCGGTGAAAACCGGTCGAACCGGTAAAAACTGGTCCGGTTGAACCGGTAAAACCGGTCAAAACCGGAAATTTTAAAAAATATTTATTTTTTTCATTTTTTGTATTTTTTATATAATTAAATATAATTATGACATCATCCGGTTTTTTAGACCGGTCCGACCGGTTGGACCACTTGAACCATCGAACCAGTAAGACGACCGGTTCGGTCTCCGGTCCAGTTTTCAAAACCTTGAAGAAAATAGGAATCGGTTTTTTTAGAACCGAATTTGAAATAACCAAACTAGTTAGAATTGAACCGTTGGTTTAAAACTGTTTTTTAGAAAAATCAAGAATCGGTTTTTTCCCTGATATTTTTAAGAAAATTGAAACGGACCGGTTAAAAAACCGAAGAAAAAAAAACAATATTTTAACAAAAATCCACTTCAAAAAACAGGTTTTTCTATAACGGGTTTAAACTGAACCTTGTCCTTTTAAAACTGTTTTAAAAAAAAATTAAAATTCAAACAATTTTTTTAATCGGAACCGGTTTAAAATCGGTGTTTGTGCACTTCTAGGGAAAGGTGGAAGTATTTGGTTTGGAATTGAAAAATTGAAAATCAAATCACACTCAAAACCGGTTTCAGACTAAACTAAATTATTAATTTATTTTGTGGTTGGTCTCGTGATGTTTGAACCAAACAAAATCTAATTACCAAATTTAATTTATTAAATATTTGTATGTTTCAGTATTTTAATAATAAATTTGAACTAATGAATATACATTACATTATAATTAGTCGAAACATCAAATCTGATTATTTTTTCTCTTATAGACTTATAGTATAGTGTATATTTTGATTTAATATAATTTATTGTTCATGTATTTTGATTTTTTATACTTAGAGACCGTGAAAAAATGAAACATAAATTGTATGTTTGGAACATTGGAACTTAATACATATTACTTTTAATCCTAAAATTTGGTTTTGTTGGTTTTCACCCAAACCAAACTGAATTGTGATTTGGTTTCGGTTTGGTCTGAATATAGCCTTGAGTTTCGTTTGGTATGGTTTTCGGTTTGGACCCAAAAAAATTCAAATAAAAAAAAAACAATTTGATTTCCACCCCTATTAGCTATAATAACCTATGTTTTGAAAATGGGATCGAATACCGAATTGACAGTCTTGTTGATAATCTTTATCGGTTTGATAGTTCAACTGATAGGATTTGTTTCAAAAACCATATAACATCATAATCAATCGAAGAAATAAAAACGTTACAAAATACAAAACATAAAATATATGATTATTAATAAAATTTGCAGTAGGTTTTGGTGTATGTGGTTTATATCTATTGGAAGTGTTAGAGGATTGCTTTTTAAATGAATTTTTGACTTTTGATTTTTCCAAAAAGTCAAAAAATTCAAAAAGATGTTTAGCGATTAGAAAACTCTTTTTGAAACTAACCTTTTGACAAGAAGAAAATTATGGTTTTTCAAAAGTCAAAAAATGCTTTTTTTTTTTGTGACTTTTAGCCACTTAAAATGTAAATTACATTCAAAAGTC